GCTTTTCTCCCTTAGTTTGCAGGCTAAGAAAATCGTTGGAGGTCTTATACCTCTTGACGTGGGCACGAGCCTGAAATCCCAATTTCAGCCTTCGAAACATCTCATATGTTCCGCGACGATTCGAAAATGTCTTTAGTGCCTCAATTCTAAACCGTTTAACGGAACTATCACGTAGTTATCAAAACGTGTATGTCCGATGTTCGCAACATCCACAAACGACGTTTGGGGTTCGGCACACTGAGCAGTGCATTAAGGACATAAGCTTTCTACTGTCCGCATAACTGCTACTTTCAACTTTCAACTATATTTTCTCTAGGAACATATCTAAAACAGTAGAACTAAAGCGCGAGCTTACGACATAATTTGCAAAAGGTCTTTTGACTATGTTCAAGATAATTAAGTTCATCTTATGAACTCCCACTTAGATAGACATCCCTCTGGTCATCTAAGTGATCACATGATCCGAGTCAACTAGGCCGTGTCCGATCATCACGTGAGACGGACTAGTTAACGTCGGTGAACATCTTCATGTTGATCGTATCTACTATACGACTCATGCTCGACCTTTCGGTCTCCGTGTTCCGAGGCCATGTCTGCACATGCTAGGCTCGTCAAGTTAACCCTAAGTGTTTTCGCTGTGTAAAACTGTCTTACACCCGTTGTATGTGAACGTAAGAATCCATCACACCCGATCATCACGTGGTGCTTAGAAGCGACGAACTGTAGCAACGGTGCACAGTTAGGGGAGAACACTTCTTGAAATTTTGTAAGGGATCATCTTATTTACTACTGTCGTCCTAAGTAAACAAGATGCATAAAACATGATAAACATCACATGCAATCAAATAGTGACATGATATGGCCAATATCATTTTGCTCCTTTTGATCTTCATCTTCGGGGCTCCATGATCATCATCGTCACCGGCATGACACCATGATCTCCATCATCATGATCTCCATCATCGTGTCTTCATGAAGTTGTCACGCCAACGACTACTTCTACTTCTATGGCTAACGCGTTTAGCAATAAAGTAAAGTAAGTTACATGGCGTTCTTCAATGACACGCAGGTCATACAAAAAATAAAGACAACTCCTATGGCTCCTGCCGGTTGTCATACTCATCGACATGCAAGTCGTGAATCCTATTACAAGAACATGATCAATCTCATACATCACATATCATTCATCACATTCTTCTTGGCCATATCACATCACATAGCATACCCTGCAAAAACAAGTTAGACGTCCTCTAATTGTTGTTGCATGTTTTACGTGGCTGCTATGGGTTTCTAGCAAGAACGTTTCTTACCTACGCAAGACCACAACGTGATATGCCAATTGCTATTTACCCTTCATAAGGACCCTTTTCATCGAATCCGTTCCGACTAAAGTGGGAGAGACTGGCACCCGCTAGCCACCTTATGCACCAAGTGCATGTCAATCGGTGGAACCTGTCTCACGTAGGAGTACGTGTAAGGTCGGTCCGGGCCGCTTCATCCCACAATACCGTCGAAACAAGATTGGACTAGTAACGGTAAGCATATTGAACAACATCAACGCCCACAACTACTTTGTGTTCTACTCGTGCAAAGAATCTACGCAATAGACCTAGCTCATGATGCCACTGTTGGGGAACGTAGCAGAAATTCAAAATTTTCCTACGCGTCACCAAGATCTATCAATGGAGAGACCAGCTACGAGTAGAAGGAGAGTGCATCTACATACCCTTGTAGATCGCTAAGCGGAAGCGTTCAAGTGAACGGGGTTGATGGAGTCGTACTCGTCGTGATTCAAATCACCGATGATCAAGTGCCGAACGGACGGCACCTCCGCGTTCAACACACGTACAGCCCGGTGACGTCTCCCACGCCTTGATCCAGCAAGGAGAGAGGGAGAGGTTGAGGAAGACTCCATCCAGCAGCAGCACAACGGCGTGGTGGTGGTGGAGGAGCGTGGCAATCCCGCAGGGCTTCGCCAAGCACCATGGGAGAAGAGGAGTAGGGAGAGAGGCAGGGCTGCACCAAGAGAGATCAAATCGCGTGTTATGGGCAGCCCCTAGGCCTCATATATATAGGGGAAGGGGAGGGCTGCGCCCCCTTTAGGGTTTCCCACCCCAAAGGGGCGGCGGCCAGCCTCCAGATGGCATCTGGTGCGGCGGCCAAGAGGGGGGGAGGAGTCCATCCTCCCCAAGGCACCTCGGAGGTGCCTTACCCCTTGAGGACTCTTCCCTCTAGGGTTCCCTAGGCGCATGGGACTCTTGGGGCTGGTGCCCTTGGCCCATGTAGGCCAAGGCGCACCCCCTACAGCCCATGTGGCCCCCCGGGGCAGGTGGCCCCACCCGGTGGGCCCCCGGGACCCTTCCGGTGGTCCCGGTACAATACCGATGACCCCGAAACTTGTCCCGATAGCCGAAACAGGACTTCCTATATATAAATCTTTACCTCCGGACCATTCCGGAACTCCTCGTGACGTCCGGGATCTCATCCGGGACTCCGAACAACATTCGGTAACCACATACAAGCTTCCTTTATAACCCTAGCGTCATCGAACCTTAAGTGTGTAGACCCTACGGGTTCGGGAGACATGCAAACATGACCGAGACGTTCTCCAGTCAATAACCAACAGCGGGATCTGGATACCCATGTTGTCTCCCACATGTTCCACGATGATCTCATCGGATGAACCACGATGTCAAGGACTTAATCAATCCCGTATACAATTCCCTTTGTCTAGCGGTATTTTACTTGCCCGAGATTCGATCGTCGGTATACCGATACCTTGTTCAATCTCGTTACCGGCAAGTCACTTTACTCGTTCCGTAACACATCATCCCGTGATCAACTCCTTGGTCACATTGCGCATATGATGATGTCCTATCGAGTGGGCCCAGAGATACCTCTCCGTTTACACGGAGTGACAAATCCCAGTCTCGATCCGCATAAAACAATAGATACTTTCGGAGATACCTGTAGTGCACCTTTATAGTCACCCAGTTACGTTGTGACGTTTGATACACCCAAAGCACTCCTACGGTATCCAGGAGTTACACGATCTCATGGTCAAAGGAAGAGATACTTGACATTGGCAAAGCTCTAGCAAATGAACTACACGATCTTTTGTGCTAGTCTTAGGATTGGGTCTTGTCCATCACATCATTCTCCTAATGATGTGATCCTGTTATCAACGCCATCCAATGTCCATAGCCAGGAAACCATGACTATCTGTTGATCACAACGAGCTAGTCAACTAGAGGCTCACTAGAGACATATTGTGGTCTATGTATTCACACGTGTATTACGATTTCCGGATAATACAGTTATAGCATGAATAAAAGACTATTATCATGAACAAAGAAATATAATAATAACACTTTTATTATTGCCTCTAGGGCATATTTCCAACAGAAAACAAGCGTAGATTAGAAGGATCCAACCGAAAGACACATGAACGTAGACAAACGAAGACCATATCCGAGTAGATCCACCAAAGATAACCACCGATCGAACCCTGCGAGATCAGTCAGAGACACACCTCCACGTGCCCTTTAACGATGGTAGACGCACCACCGGGCAGGGCTAGATGAGGAGAACCTTATTCCATCTTTAGAGTCGTCAGACACAAACTCTAACAAAACTCAAAAAAATATCTAGAAACAAAAGCCGTGTGATCCTTCTTATCTTTGCTTCTCATTGTCGGCGATGGGTCATGTTCTTCTTATGTGTTGGCAGATTGGGGCCGTAGCTCGAAGACTCCATGATTATCAACTACAACAATGTTTACATGCCTCCAATGAGGGATGGGGATGGGCAATGTCAGTGGCCCACCTTCAGCCCGTTCTAGTGCTAATAGTTGTCGTTGAGTGGTCTAAAAAGACACCTATGCGACTCTTGGAAAGGTTACTTATTATTATTGTGATATTATCTTATGTGATGCCTAAGTATAATTGTTCGCAAATAGGCAATGTTTTTCACGAAGAGAAAATTCAAATATAACTCTACAGAGCAAGTAAATACCCAATAACTTAACAACTTAGTAAGTAGAAAGTAACCCATAAACAAATTTTCGGCTCATAAATTGGAAATAAAATAGTAGTTCATTAATAAATAGTGATTCAGAAAAATCAGACGAGAGAATTCTAAAAGTCGGAGAAACCACTACAACTATAGCAAAATTTTCATTTACTATCAAATTTACCGGTCAGACCGTTGGTTCACCGGTTAGACCGAACCGGTGATTGAACCGACACCGCCGGTTCACCTGTTAATTTTCTATCCTTTGGCAGCTAAGTTGGATGGGCAACTTGGTTGTTTGACCCAACTGGCGACTTAGGCCTATTTCCTACCACCCCACGGATCGCCCCCAGGGGACACAATTATTCTTCATCGTTTGTAATGATTCTAGCGCAAACTATCGTTTTTTAGTTTTTCTTCCGGTTTGAGCAAACAAACCGCCCGGTTCAGTCGGTTTTGGCCGGCCCATTTTGCAAAATAGTCTGATTAGCTTACAAAACCGTCGACGTTGTCGATCTTGGTTTTTCCCGGTCTGGTCTTTATAACTATGTTCGGGAGCTAGGGTGTTTCAGAACATGCCGTTAGTTTCCTTTTCCCGCCAAAAAAAAAAAGAAACAAGTTAATGTTTGAAAGCAGAACATTCGAAGCACAAGATCTCAAACAGGCAAAACAAGTTATTATCAAAAACGCTCTTATATCGTGAAACGGAGGGAGCAGTAACTAAGACGGCTCAACAGAAGGATCAAATGAGTGGCCGATTGGTGGGTCCATACTCATGGGCCGCCCGTTAGCAACCTGTGTCGGAATTCGGCCCAACCAAAGAACCAAACCCTAGGGCCACCACACAGCCCAGCCGAGCACTATATAAGGAACAGCCGACGACGGCCGACCATTTTGCTTCCACACTCCTCTTTCTACTGTAGCTCACCACTCCGTCCAAAGCCGCAGCCAGATCCACAACCTCTCGCCGGCCGGCGCCGCCGGCGGCCATGGCCGAGCAGGCACGGTTCTTCAACATGGACCCAGCGACGGCGGCCGACGCACGGCGCAAGGGCTGCGACCCGCACACGCTGGACCAAGCCGCGGAGAGCATGCTGTGCTACATCTACGCCAACCTCCCCAGCCTCCCCGTCTACGAGGGCACTTGGCTCGCCGCTCTCGCCTCCTCCGCCTCCCCCGACGGCGTCGACCGCATCAGCCGCCTCCCGCCCGAGCTCCTCAGCAACATCGTCTCCCGCCTCCCGTCCGTCAAGGACGCCGCGCGCACCGCCGTCCTCTCCTCCCACTGGCGCCGGGTCTGGCTCTCCACGCCCCTCGTGCTGGCCGACGCCCAGCTCCACCCCGAAGCCTGCGGCTGGCCGCCCACGCCCGCCACCTCGCCGGCCGTCACCGCCGCCGTCTCCCGCATCCTCGACGCGCACCCGGGGCCCTTCCGCTGCGTCCACCTCGTCTGCAGCCACATGAGCGCGCACCGTGCCCGGCTCGCGCGCTGGCTCCAGCTCCTCGCCGCCAAGGGCGTCCAGGACCTCGCCCTCGTCAACCGCCCCTGGCCGCGCGACGTGCCCCTCCCGGCCACGCTCTTCGCCGTCACCACCCTCACCCGCCTCTACGTCGGCATGTGGACGTTGCCCGGCACGGCCGCCCTGCGTGGCGCCTCCTTTCCCCATCTCCACGAGCTCGGCCTGGGCTGCGTCGAAATGGAGCAGGGCGTGGTCGACTCCCTCGTCGCCAGGAGCCCCGTCCTCGAGGTCCTCAACATCCTGGGATGCAAGGCGGTGCGTCTCCGCCTCGTCAGCCAGAGCCTGCGGTGCGTGCAGATCAGCTGGTCGAGAATGGAGGACGTCGCCGTGGTAAAGGCTCCCCTCCTCGAGCGGCTCATCCTGTTTAGACCTTGCAAAATCGCTGGTGGCATGTCCACGAGACTCAGGATTGGCGATGCCCCCAAGCTGCACGCATTTGGGTACTTGGAGCCAGGACAGGTCCTCAAGGTCCGAGACACCATCATCATGGTAAATGTCTGGTCTCCATTTTGTTCAGTTAGCAAATATGTTCAGCTGGTGGAGGTCCATGACTCAATTGTGGCATCTTCCTTTTTGAACTGGCCAAATTTCAGCCAGGAATAGCAAGCGCAAGTACCGTCGTGACAAGCGTGAAGATTCTGAGCTTGAATGTGTGTTTCGGAGTTCGCAGTGATGTCCAGATGGTGCCCACCTTCCTCAGATGCTTTCCCAACGCCAAGAGACTGCATATCATGGTAATTCCTCCAATACATGTTCTGCTCTTTACGAATATGTGGTAGTTGCGGGGAGACTGCTTCATATTATGATTGATTGCATACATCAAGTCAGTCGTTGTGAACTTGTGATAGCTCTTTACATGGTCTTTTTTGGTTTCGTGCACTGTAATTCGGAGTAAGAAATGTGTTATAAGTTAAATTCCATGCCTTGCCATTTCTTCTCAACCATCATCATCAGGTCTTCTCGACAACCTATAGACTATAATACACAGTTAGAATTATGGAGGGTTTCATGCTGATCTGTTTATGTTATTGACATTTGGTAATAATTATTTCCTGTGGCATAATGATTATCATTGCTGTATCTTGATTTATAGTGCTTTACTTCTTTACATATATCCAGATTTTCTCGTCCTAGTGTTTCTCACTGTGTTCTTACGAGCTACTAGTATTTGTGCTAACTTTTTTATTTAGAGAAGGAGTGTTTATTTGTGCTAACTTCTTATTTGAGACTTGTTAAAGTTACACATAGTAAATTAGCACACTGATGTTGACGGTTTGCTTTTAGGGTATTGGTATACCAACATTGCACAAAATTTCTGTATGACTAAAGTCATTCATTGTGGACTGAAGTTTGCAGCCTCACATATACCTTAATTTGCTGTGTATGAATTATGCTATCAGATCTTGTTTAGCGCAGCCACATACACCATTCTCTCTCTCTCCACGACTAGGCTCTCTAGTAATTAGTAGTACATTCTGCTACTTTCCTCCATTAAAATTTAAAGTATAGAGTTGTCCGTAAGGGTCCTTGTAGTCACATCTCCTACAAATCGGTCATGGACCAGTATAATTTGCAGTACTTTAGTGTTGAGTTGTTTGCACTGCATGTGGTGTAGGTTCTGAACTTGGCAGCAAAAATGCTCTATTTGCTCACAGAAAAAAAGACATTCATAATACCATTCCCTTTTCTTGTTTTCTTACCTCCCCTTTGCATACAGCTAATGGAAAGTAAGGACCAATTTATTTCACCTTATTCTTGCTCTGCTTAATAAATCTCTGTGCACACGTCACTTATTTTTTTTTGTTTCATGTTGGAGCAGATGTTGTTGCTTGTAGCATTCTCTTTTGTTTACATAGATCTGTCAAGCTAGAGTTCTTTATGATCTTTTTAGTTTTTTTGACTGTGAAATGTGAGTCATGTATGTAGTTATGCATGCTAGGCGAAATAGTTTGCCCACGAATAACAGAATAAGATGATGAGCACATCATCAACATGAGTAGGCATAATTGACCAATGACCATATTCATTCTTGACTAATATAGCTAAAAAGCAAAGCATTGGCGCATTGCCATTTATTCTCAACCATCAGGCCGTTTCTACTACTCATGCAGACTAGAGTATGCAATTGTAATTATTGGGGTTGCATGTTCATTTTTTTTATGTTAAAGACATTTGTTACCTTTGTTTTGTTGTGCAACAGTTGATTTGTATTGCTTTGCTTCTTGATCTGCCGGTATACCCAGGTTTATAAAAAAAAATTCACTGTGTTCATACTAGTTAGCAGTGTGTTGTGGAGTGTGGATGATGCAAATGGCATATAATGCTTATTTCGAACTGACCAAACTACACATAATAAACCAGCACATTTGATGCATGGTAGTATTAAATTGTCATTTCTCCAACACCATAATTAATTTGAGGCTTCCCTGATATGCTTTCCTAACTGATTCTACCATTTTTTGCAGAGTAAAAGATGCACTGAACCCACTGGCAACTACCTCACACTCCAGTTCTGGGAAGAGTCTGACCCCGAAGAAAACCTCGTCTCGCGCATCACCGTGATGAGTTTCCGTGAGTTCACGGGGGACCCCGGCGAGGTCGGCTTCCTCGAGTTCTTCTTCCGGAGCGCGCGGGCGCTGGAGACCGCGTCCGTTTCCATGGCCAACCCAAGATTCACGCCGTTCTCGACGCAGGAGGCGTATGCCAAAGTGAAACGCAGCTCGAGGATCATGGCAAGTGAGTCCAACATGGTTGTCCTTGGGAGCACCGGCCCTGCAGGTGGTAACATGTGGAGCTTGAAAGACGGGGCCGATTTTTCGTTCCATGACCCCTTCTCCGAAGTGGAGGTGGTCGGCTGAGCTTCAGTTTCTGTGGAGAAGTGGTGTGACTGTTTTCTGATGCAAAACTATGTGTGTTGCTAGTCGTGCCCTTTGTGACGGTCTGACAAATTTGAGGCTTGATGTAAACTAGTATGCAGCAAGACTGATGAGCTGATACTTTGCTTGACCTGTGTTGCCATTTTCCCAGTCTACATGTTTTCATTCCTTGCAATAGCTGTTCTTTTTTCTTTTAGACAAAGTTCAAAAAAAATTCTAGGTGTTAATTATGCGTTTGGCCACGTACTTGCACTTTTCTAGCTTAGGCGCAATTAGGCATTACTACTGTAGCATGAAGAAGTAAGCTAGATGGGCTGGTCTAGCCCATTAAACCCATAGTTTTAAATAGCCGGCTATAGCTTGCTATAGCTATAGCCTTTTCAGCAGGGTGCCGCTAAACGGTCGCCTTCATAAATAGCCCGCTTTAGCCCGTTATAGTTCCACTATAGCTGATTTGAAGGTTCACCGCTATTTTTCATAGTATGCTATTTAAAACATTAATTAAACCCCATGCCCACCTTCTTATTCCCTTACTAAAGCACCTGTATGTGCACCGTGGGCAAAAAATCTAGGTATCCTCCTCACGCCGCCTCTCTCCCTTGCTGCATGATTTGCCTCTCTCCCTTGCTACACTGATGGGGAACCAACTAGCGAAGCTTAATTTCTCGCTGGAGAAGCTCAGTCCCTTGCCGGAATCAGTCCATTTGACATCAGAAGTGGTTGAATCCTCGTCGGCGAGGATGAATACTTGCTGGAGTGATCAAATCCTCGCGTGGGAGATTGATTTCTCACCTGAGAATCATGATTCCTGGCCGGAGGACTTCGACGGCCGCTTTTTTGAGCACCTAGGTCCAAAAGGAGGCGTTAGTCCAACGCCCAGAGCTTAAGCACGCCTAGGCGCGCCTTTTTGAACTATGTTTTTAGATCGACA